TAGTTATTATATGATAAGAAACTGTCTTAACTCACCCATATAATAATTATTCTATAGTTGGAATTGGGTTTAACTATTAAAATTGTATACAAGGAAATTAGGGGTGTTGCAGTACTTGGCTGCAAATAACTTGCCATCTGGTGTTGGGTCAGAAAATGCTATTTCATTAGTGCTGAGAAAACAGCCAAACATGAAGCGATTCCTAAAAGAAAAAAAAGAGGAAAAGACAATTTAACAATGGAACCAAATTAAAATTTTGGTTAAACTTTAGCACACTTTATTTTATCAATCCAAATATAAAAATTCAATCTAACTAAATACTTGATTAAAATCCACATTTTAAGTGATAAAATGACTTAATGCTTTAGATTTTAGAGATGGAAGCCTATTTCACAGAGAAAGCTGAGGTCCAGAAGAAATTCTGCTGGGGTAAAGGGAGTCATAAAAACCAACCAGCTGACTCTAGATGATGCATAGGAATGAGCAACTAATAAGAGGTAATATTGCTAATGAAAAGCCATCAATAGCTCTAGCCAGTTTGGCTCAGTAGCTAGTGTCGGCCCCCTGAACTAAAGGGTCGTGGGTTCAATTCCAGTCAAGGGCACATACCTCGGTTGCAAGCTCTATTCCCAGCCCGGGTCAGGGCACGTGGGGGAGGCAGCCAACTGAAAGACATTGACGTTTCTCTCTGTCTTCTCCTTCCCACTTTCTCTAAAAATCAATAGAGCCTGGCCAGTGTGGCTCAGTGGTTGATTGCCAACCTAGGAAACCAGGAGGTCATGGTTTGATTCCTGGTAGGGCACATGTCCGGGTTGTGGGCTCGGTCCCCTATGCGGGGCATGCAGGAGGCAACCAATCAATGATTATTCTCATCATTGATGTTTCTATCTCTCCCTTTCCCGCTTGGAAATCAATAAAAAAAATAAAAATCAATAGAAAAAATATCCTCAGGTGGTGATTAATGAAAAACAACAACACATAATTAAAACCATAGATAATTAAAGAAACCCATCACCAATAACCAATACTATATTCTTTTCAACTACACCACACACTCAGAGATTTAAGAAGGCAAAAACTCTCTCCCAATGTTTATTTTGGGAGGCAACCAAATTTTCGGGGGGGGGGGGAAAGAAGGCAAAAACTATCCCACATTTTTACTTGGAATCTCCTTGATCCAGAGCGCAATTAGGATTAAAAGTAATATAAGATGAAATGGTTGAAAGAATTCAACAAAATTGAGGGATAGTTTAAAAAGTAACTGGCCTGTGCTCTTCAAATTCTTCAATGTCATAAAAGACAAAGCCTAAACTGTTCCAGGTTAAGGAAAATGAGAACTAAAGAGATATGATGACTTAAGTGCAATATTCGATCCTGCACAGGGGAAAAATGCTATAAAGGACACTTGAGACAAATGACAAGACTGAAATATGAACTATACTTTAGACAGAAGCATTATAGCCATATTAAATATCCCGAATTTGATCATTGAACTGTGCTTATGTAAGAGAATATCCTTGTTCCTAAGAAATATACACCAAAGTACAAAGAACGTACAGCAAATGTTAAAACTTGAATCTGGGCAAAGGCATATGGGGGCTCGTTTTAACTACTGCTACTCTTCTAAGTTTAAAATTACTTCAAAGTAAAAAATTAAAGAATTAGATTCAATTAGAAGTTAAGATACAAGCTTTTGGTATCTTTACTATATAACTTTACTATATAACATTTAGTTTATTGCTAAATGTCCAAAGCAAAATATTGGTTTGATTAAAAGTTCTTATTGTCTTTATTAGTGATATCAGCTATAGAAAAAATATTACATCTGTAGGTTTGAATCCTTACTCTGTACTTATACTAGCTCATTGGTGTAAGTTTGTACTATATAATCCCATGTGAGCCTCAGGCTATTCTTATGTAAAATAACTAGGAATAATTTTTTACTCTTGTGATTATTTAGTGGC